CCGTGTTGCTGCAGTTTCTCCACAGCTTCGACTGTCATGTGTTGTCAAAGAGGTGTATATATATTAAAGAGCTTCAATGCTGTAGTGATGGTTCAATGACTATGCGTTCACATATTAAGCTCAACTATTATTTTAGTTAAAATGCACTTTAAGATAATTGTAGAATCGATTGAATCGTTTGACGATGAACAGTCGGTTGGATTCTGCCTTTATAAAAACAAGAACAACAACATGTCTTTAGGTAAGGACGTTGCTGCCGAAATTTGTTTAATCTGATTGGAATTTGTAGACGTATGTTCTTCGTCTGAAGGGGAGCTCAATTCGCCCAGTGTAGTTGATCTATCATTCGGTAAGTGAATGTCATGTTTTGGATGAAACTTCGCTGAATATTTTTACTGTTTAAATTTTGAGAATGCTGTATAATTAAACAAAACTAAATACATCCAAAAAACTATCGTATGACAAATGGTTATCAACGGAGAGATTTGGGGGGGGGAGGGCAATATATGATTTCTACCGTTTGAGTTAAGAGGAAAATTGAGAGTCGTATGTGAATAGCACTACAACACGGTTTATACGTTGTCTTGATTGTCCATTAGATAGCCTTCAGTTATTAGATGCGTCAAGGAAAATTGCGGCTTTGAAAGGCGCTCGCATCAGACAATATGACCGTATTTGTCACCAGTTTTGACATGGTCACAACAGAACACTCCGCTGATCTTCGCAAGTGATCGACTTGCCATCCTTTTCTCGACTAGTTGTACGGAAGCAGCGTGCTGTGAATTCTTTGCTCAAGGAAATTTTTGCTGGTAATGGGTATTTTTTTCTACTCTGGGATTCGAACCGGCGCTTCCCAAGTTTGAAGCCGACTTCTTGTCCTGTTACGTTGCTCATTCACGACGGTTGCCCACTCCGGCCCTAAAGGATTTTCATACGTTTCAATTTTACTAATTATTACAGTATTGCTTTATTGGTGTTCGGTTGTTCAGACGTTCACTTTTACACTCTAGAAGACGGTCCTCATAATAAACGAAAGCCAGCAAAAGTCGTGCGAAGGGAGGTGAATAGAGAAGAAGGCACTTCGGTGACTTGTTCTGCATTACCGAGTGTAGAACACAGTCTCGCACTTGCTATGACTCAGGCTACTGCTGCAAGTATAAACAAAAGGAAATATGTTTTTCATCCGTAGATTCATACATCTGTTTAGAAGATTGCTGCCAGTTTTGTTGTGGAAATGGTGCCGACGTTAGTTACACGTTGAACAGACTCGAAAACAAAGTGGATCATATCCTTGCATCCATGAATGTCGTTATCGATCATATCCGCAATGCAGATTTGTCGAAGGATAAAAGCGCTGACCATGGCAACCTGGTCACTCAGCTGTCCTCTATTCCGACGTTCCAAAAATCGATCTCCTCGGCCGTTCAAAAATCCAGCGAAATCGACCGTATTTTACAAGGTACGTGTAGGAAATTATTTGACGCGCTTATTTAATAGACGAGTGTATTCAGAAAATTTTTTCTTGTGAATAAAGTAGTGTATGTTCTCAAGGCCTTTATAATGTTATATGTTGCACATCGTGAAGAATACATGAATAATATGATTTTTTCACTATATTGAAGAAAAATATTTAAAATGTGGCTTCTTTTGTTGCTTTGTCTTGATTGTATATTTTCGGTCTTGTCCCCTTCCTTGTTCTTTTTCCTTCTTGATCTGCTTCTCATTTTTTCCCTCTTTGTCGTTTTTGTAGACTTAGCATTCCTCTCAGTCTTTATTTTTTCTTATTTCGCTTCTGTTTCTCGTCTTGTTTCTTTTGTTCCTCTAGACTTTCTGAATCATTTTTCTTCCCGTGTTTTCCTTTTCGGCTTGTGATTTAATTTTATTTTACGATTTACACCTTTTGCGGATTTTTAATAAGCTCTCTAGTTCAGTGAAGGCGAATTGCTTATGGGGCGCATGCATTAAGCAGCATTGTCGTATAGCTCGTATGCTGTTATAGAACACTGCTGTCATTCATATTCACAATTTCGCCTGTGCGACCTGAGATAAAACTTGCCGAGAGTGAATTCCTTTCTCAAGAGAATTAATAATCGATATGAAAAAATTTACTCCACGCTTCAGTTTTAAACCCGACACCTCTTGAGTGCAACAAACTACTTGACCAAAATGCCAGTCTTTCATCTGCTAGCTGTTGCTCTTCCGTGCATTGCTCAGTACTTTAGTAATACTTCGCAGTATCCTATTTAGTTTCGATACTGTTATCTTCTCACTTGTGGCGTTTTAAAGGACATGTAACATGTTTTTTTTGAAACATTCATATCCGCCATGGCCGGTCCCAAGCCCGGATGAGAAAGGAGGAGGGTTGGAGACCGTGGCAAGTCTCCGT